TAAGATAAGCGTGATACAGTCATGTCTATCAATAGCAGACACTAAACATGGCTCTTACATACATTTTCTGCACAGAGAAAACATTGACCAGAAACACAGAAGTTTATTTAAGTAACCAGAAATGCATCTTATGGGTTAGAGTGAATAGTGCTGATAAAACACTACCACATTTTTTAAACTGAATTTACATACCTGGTTCTGATAAAGGGAATATGTCTTCAACTTTAAATGTCACTTGGATTAAGCCTTTCCCTGTAACTGAATTTAGAAAGTTTGTAAGACATAAGAATGATGTATAAAGGCTGAAAATTGTTCTAATCCCATAAAACAAAGTTTCTTCAATTGTGAGGAATCTCATATTTTGAAATATTGATAATATGATGTGCATTGTATGAATCCATGCAGTTTAAATACATCTTATACAAAAAACTGCAAAGAGTCAGATGCTCAGCTAAGGAGAATAAGTGCTAAGAAAGAGCTGTTTGTTATAGGTAATCCCTGGGAACGGGTGGGTTAAGTTTTCCCAGGCATCTTGCACTGACAATGTTCTCCTTGTGAAATCAGGCAAAATTGTTCCTCCATTACTAAAGTTCTTTTTCTCATGTTTTATTGTTAAAGTGATTCAAAATGTGGTTGAAGGACACTATATAAAATACACAAAAGAAGGTTTAAGTCAGTGGTGGAATTCAGCCAGTTCGCATCGGTTCAGTAGAACCGGCAGCTAAATTTTGCTGAGTTCAGAGAACTGGCTGAATGCACACTGCTTCCGGAAGTCAAGTCTAGGCCTCAGAGGCCTGGAGGAGGGCCCCCAGGCCTAGAACGGCCCACCAGATGTGCGTGGATGCCACTTCCGGAAGTCCGTTCTTGGTCTCGGAGGCCCAGGCCTGCATCCAATAAGAGAACTGGTTGTTCAGGTATTTGAATCCCACCACTGGTTTAAGTGTTTAGCTAGACGGAATGTGCTCTTTTTCAAGATATTCCATTCAATTCTGCTCCTGCCTTTTTTTTGTTTTTCTCCTTTCAGACAATCTATACTCTTAAGTCAATGAACATCTTAAGGTTATGCCATTTTGGATTCCCCCCTCCCTTAATCACCTAAGTTTATCTTTACGTTTTACTTTTGCAAAACTTGAAGTTTCCACAAAGTTCTTTCTTAATTGCACAATTTCAGTTAGTAATAATCTGAAATATAACTTGCTGTTAATAAAAGATAAGTTTATTGATTCTGAAAATTACAGTATGGTGCTATACAGAATGTCCAAGTGGCATCTTCAAAGTCTTTTCTTGATCTTCTGACATTGCTAGCACAGAAACACTTCAACCAGGATTGACACCTAAAGTCAACTAGGATGTTTGAAGGGGCACCTTCTCCAAATGATTTGCACAGCTTTCATAATTAATTTCACTATTGAACTGCTCTTGCTATTAGGAAGCATTGAGGAATATGTATAACCAATATGATGTAGCAGTGAACGTGTTGGATTGGTACCAGGGACCCCCAGATCCAATTTTAAGTCAAACTTAAAGACTCAAGATTTCCATGCTAGTCACTCTCTTTAGTGCAGCCTACCTCCCCAGGATGTTGTTGTGAGGAAAAACATAGGAGGAGGGTTGTTGCACATAATGCTTTGAGCTCCTAAAGGAAAAATGGGATATAAATCTAAAAAAAATCCTGTATTTTCAAACGTATCTGCAAATTAAAAGCATGGTTTTATGATCTAGGATAATAGCCTGCTCTATTTCTTGTAGCACCTTTTAGATGCTTGAACAGTATAGTCACAGCTCCTCTTAGTTATTTTTTTCTCAAGCCCAAATGTACCATATCACTCCAAGTCTCCTTATAAAGCTTAATTTCAAGTTTTATGATGATTTTCATTGTCCTTCACTGTCTTTGTTTCAGAATTTGACACATCAACTCTTTTGACCCTGGCATATATATCTTCTGCCAGTCTATGGGATGTAAGCAATCAATCCTATGGACAGCTTTGTAGAATCCCTTTGAAATTATGTATGTCAATAAATATGCTTAAGTTAACTGTTACTGGATAAGAGTTTATTATATACTGAGTTATCTGTAACTCAGTAGCATATTTTCTGAATGACCAAGGCCAATTCACAAAATCATTTCAGTACACGATGAAAGAGATTGGCCACATTATTCTGTATATCAATTTTTGGTATTTCTTTTTATCCTGTAAACTTGCTCTTCAGACCTGAAAATATGTGTGATATTTCCTAGAGCAACTAAGGACAGAAAACTATAAAGCCTCTAAGTTAACGATGAACAGTTCCTGCTGTGTCTCCATGATGTCTTCCTTCAGATGCTCAGCTTTCAGAATAACAATGACTTTTTTTAACTGTGAGATTTGAAGCAAACGCTGTGTGAATTTCAGAGCCTGCCTGTGAATGATCTGGCATCTGATCTGTATTTATTGACATTAAATTTAGGGTTTAATGCACTCCTGCCACTTTTCAACAATTCACCCTAAAAGGCTTTTAACTGGCACAAAAGGAGGAGGTCATAAGTAAATTGACCTCGGACAGAATGTACAATTATTAGAGAAGGTTAGGACAAGAGCAGCTGCCGGAGCCCCACTGGCAAAGCAAAGTACTTCCAAAAGTCTGGTTATTAAGAATAGACTCAGGTTTCCCCTCTCTGCCACCTCAACAAGGTCCCTTTGGTTCCCCTAAGAAGAATTATCACCCTTCCTAGCAGCTGCAATAATTGTGTTCCTATTGTTGCACAGACCTCCTCCTGACCACCCCCTACAAGTGCCCATTGTTGAGACAGAGTCAAGTGATTAGATACTCTGGCGGATATGGTTAGGGCCCAGCTGCCTAACTGCTGACACATGAGCATCAAGGGGCGGGAGGGTGGGGAGAGACCCACGGCTGCAAGACGGGACTCTAACATGCCAGACCTTTTACATAAGTCAAACAGAAACAAATGATGCTTTCTGGGTCCTGCTGACGGAGCAACCTCTCCTCCTTTGAAGTGGTGAGGGCTGGTAGGCTTTTACAGCTTTTCCTCTTCAGCCCAAGCAAACATCCTTCTTTTGATATGAGACATGCTCATTATCTCTGCCCCATTTAATGATTTTTGATTGAAAGGTGGCAGCTCAGTTGCCAAGAGGGTAGTTAAAGAGGCTCCACAGAGTCAGACCTACAATAAAGGCTTCCCTTATGCAGTGGCCTATATTTGGAATTTCTTAACAACATGTTCTTGTTCTCTGCCGCAGATAAGGGCTGAGCATGAAATTCTTAATTAAGCAGTAAATAGTGCATGGGTGTCAGCAGATGCAACCTGTAGCCATGGAGACCGAGTCACATGAACAGGAGAATAAGCACTAAAGTAGAAGCCTTAGGCCTGGAAGTGACTGACAGCTGAAGAATCCTACAAAGCTTGTAAATGGGATTAATTAGCTGACTAATTTTTTTTTTGAGACTATCACCCCAATTTAAAAATGAAGAAAATTTCTGGTTTTATTTGAAAGGATAGTAAAAAGATCAAAATACAGATGGTCCTTTCTTGGAAAGATCTTAGGCCATTAAACTCAGGAGGAACAGAGCTGAGCTCACACGGTCCAATTTTTCTTTCAGCAGAGAAAGCAATTCATGGTTCAAGCAATGACACACTGTTATTGATAAATGGAAAGAGACCAAAAATGTAGCTTAGGTGAAATAGTTGTAGAGTCTCTGCTTATTTGCAATAACTTCTGTTATTTTTGCAGTTAAGACTCCAGAGTTCTTTATAGTAAAGAACTATGCAACAAAATAATTTTCCTTTTTTGTGCACAAGGGAAGAGACTAAAGTCCACTTCAGGCTTCACTTGAGTTAGAACAAGGCGCTTTTATTATGTGATGCTGTTCATTTGAAGGAGCCTCACATCACTAGTCCAATTTTAGTCGTGTCATGGTCTTTTTCAACTAATATTTACTACCCTGGTTAAAATTGGCAGAAATAACTCCAGGATTCAGTCACGCAAACAAGTTCCCATGTATAAAACCACTTATTGTTATGTGTTCCCTGTTTCTCCAAGAACTTAGGCTTTCTGGAATAGCACAAAGAAATTTTAATTCTGCAGAAAATTTCACCTTCCTATAGCAGGTGGCAAGCTTAGCATCCCAAAAGCAATTTTCAGAGGAAGTGTTGGAATTCCAAGTTGCTTCACAAAGGAGTAAACTACTCAATCGCTGTGGTTAATGTGTGATGTCCATCACCAATTCCAGCATGTGTGTCCTTCTCATTGAGCATTATTATCAATTACAACCTTAAACATCAAGATCTTACCTAAATAAGTTAACTTTTTAGTTTTATTGTTGAAAAAGCAGTCGCAAGCCTTGTGATGTCTATGGGAAGGAATAGCCTGGAGTAGCAACCCTTGCCTTCTTCCACAAAGCACCGTAACTTGACTGTGGACTGGCAACCCTTCATGCTCCAGTAATAGGTAATTGCCAACAGCAAAATTATCAAATGTAGCTATATACTATGGAGTAGAACACAAGAAACATGCAAACATTTATATTTCCTTTCTGAATTATATCTGGAGTGCAACACAGAAGATTAATGATTGTGTAAGAGAGAAGGAAGAAGAGACAGCAATTTTTCAGCAGACTCATAAATGCCAAAGTTTCACCTCTGTCCCTCCCCCAATTTATGAATTTATCTTTGGATTTGGCTATTTATTTGCTACTGAGAAATGAGTAATCATTTCAAGAGCGTGGCCTTGCCAATAAAAGCCACATATAATGGAGAGTTGCCCAATGTGTTCCATGCTATCTTTCCCATTATAAAATATTCATTCTGACCTGTGAATGACCCATATCACATACAGACACTATGTATCCTATCCTCTGTACCTAATCCTTCCATTAGATTAAAATGAAATTGTATTTTATTTTAGCTTCAGAATTCAGAATTTCTATTTCCTATAACAATATGAGACTGTAACATTTGATGGATTAAACAAACCTTCATTACCTGCAAATTTCTTTGAAGAAGAGGACTGCTGAATGACAAAGTATAAATTTCTTGATCCAAAAGAAGACTCATCCAGCCATCGGCATTTGATAAAGTGTCAGACACGTAATTGACAGTGATCACCTTATTGTGACTATTAGTTACTGTTAAATTAGATGAAAAGATTGGAAACTTTCTGAAAAAAAAATCAAAGGTTTTTTAAATAATATTCACTTTGATACTATGTTGATGCAGCGTGTTAGCCCACTGTTGCTCTTCCAAACACAGAATTTAGGCATAGATCAGCAAGCTCAGATAGCATAGAATGGCAACATATCCCACTTCCCCAAATCTAAATCCCATAAAAAAATTTCAAGTAGACAACTCGGATTTGCTTAAGTGAATCCTTAATCAAGAAAACCAGGCAAATTCCTTGGTATTCAACTTTTTTTTATTTTGGGAACTACAAGCTCCTTGGACATAAAGATAAATCCATCATTCCCAGTTTTACTCCTTTTCTCAGTTTTTCTCAGTTTCCCTCCAATGTTTTGCGTCTTTCTGCATAAGAAGAAACCACAAAATATATATTTTTTATGGATGTTATTTCTAATATATATTAGAAGCAAATAATAACATAATAATAACATGCCCACATATTTTTAAGTTGCTTACCAAATTTTTATAAACAACATATTTAATTCTGAGAGGTCCAAACGGGATAAATGCACTGAAATCAAAATAAAATAATTTCACTTCCATCCCTGTTATTCCAAAAGAATAGAGGATAACGTGGGTAGGCAGAATAAGACACTTGAAAGGCAACAAATAGTTTTGGTTCCCCAAAATGCCCAGGTTGATCATGAGCTGACTATTATATTGTCTTTCCAAACAATGTTTTCACTTCATACTGTCAAGCTAGCTCCCAAACAGAACTACTATATTGCTAACATAATTGAGCATTCCTACCACCATAATTAGCACCATTTTAATTTGCTCTAAATAGCCAGTGATTTTCACTGTGCCCTAAATAGCCACCAATCTACCTCTCTTTAATGTTAATGGAGCAGAGGAGGGCATGAGCATTTTTAATTCGGAGGAGCTGAGGGAGCCTGCATGGATCATTAACGAGAAAGTGTTTCATTACCAAAGGAGCAGGCAGCTCTCTAAGATCTGTTCTTGTCTTTCTGAAGAAGAAACCAGGAGGAGGTAACCACAGTGGTAATGTGAAATTAACCCTTGGCTCAAACTGCTAGGAGCCTTTCAAGAGGGTTACAAAGAAGAGAAAAACCTGGATGACTGATTGGCAGTGCTGCATTTTTATATCCAGAGAAGTTTCAATTAAGAAGCAATTTGCTACAGAAATCTGGCATGACTAGTAGATAGAACTTTACAGTCTGCGTTACAATTTACCATCATGGTTCTTTAAGCTGTTATGTAATTTAGCTCAAGTGTAGTGTGCAGAACTGTTGAACATAAATGGCTCACAAAGGGTTTGCTAAACCAATCAACAACTATGAGTAGAATAAATATTAAGTCTCCTGTTTATGTTTACCATTAGCTTACTTATCCTGAGGGGGTTCCACCCTCCCTTCCCCCCTTTGTATTATGGCAAACACTGCATTTAGCTCTAAATGCTTTCTGTTTGTTACCTTTGTGAAATCATCTTCTTCAATGATATAACTCAAGAAAATAAAGCAACAATAAAATTGGCTTAGAATGGGGCCGATGGTACATGCATCAATATTGCAATGTATTCTTTCAGAAATAGAAATGTAATAGTATAGCAGAGATCCATGAGTGTCCAAGTTGCATTTTGCTTAAGGCCTTTCCCCACTGATGATTTGGAGTACTATTCTCTCATCCTTGAGTTGAAAGCGGCATGAAACAATAGTCCCATTGCCAATCTCTGCTCTGTCTCTTTTAGCTCTGTTCCCAAACACTACAGTCACCTGAATTCCCCTCAGTGTAATGGCTGACAAAACCTAACAGATTTTCACACATTGAGGCTATGCATGGACTATTATAGAATAAGAGGAGAAGGTGCAGTTTAACACTTGTCCATTAGGAAGAATGTAAGCTTATCTCATTTACACACTGGGGATAAGGAGTTGAACATAAGGTGATGGAGGCAAGGCAGAAAAGAGATGTGGTCAGGGCATACTTGTTCTGAGGTTTTGTGCAAATACTGAAAGCATGACTGCATGTTATCCCAAAAAATAAAAATTCAATCCAATCGTTTGTTCAAGGATGTCTATGTATTTAGCCAATATTTAAAATTTATGTAAAAGGTGTGAGCTTCACTTCTGAGGGTCTATCTACTAGAATTTTCTGATTTTAGGACATGACTTAGAACCTTCACCTCTGCTTTAAAGCAGCTAACATCAGTAGATCTATATCCTTAACACAATGTATTTTTATTTAAAAGAATACATTTTTCCTGCAATTACATGGTATGCAATTGGTAGATGTGCCTGTCCCATTCATTTATTTTATTCACCACAATAAATGACTTTTATAGTATTGGATGTTTTTAACACATTGTTTTCTCAGGACTGCCTAAGTCAACATCATCAGAAACTTATTTTTGCAACCTATTATCTTGCTAAAGTGTGATTTCCTAAATCTTGTACAATTACAAGTGAGAAAAGAAAGCAAATACTTACAGGCCAAGAGACATACGATGAAAAGTAATATTTGCAAAACAACAACTGGCATTGACAGCTTGACTGGCATTGACAATTGTCCTACAGGAATCTGGAAGTATATCCAGAGAAGGAAGGATCTGATTTCCTGGTTGTCCTGTCAGAGACCCGTCTAGATCTTTGAGGATGGCACAGTGAGGGAATGGAAATGATAGCCAGTTTGGGGCATTGAGGAAGAGCACTTGATCTGTTCTGACAGGAAAGCCTCCTGAAAAAGAAAAAAAGAGGAACATAGTATATTGTAGAACAATTAAGGGAAGATATAAACTCCCATCCAATGAAAACTGAGAATTCAAAAATTTAGAATAGGATGTTGTTGCTGATCAAGTCAACAGCAGTTTTATTGGCAATGTTCTCTTCTTGCTATGTCTCAGAGAGTGTGACTGGCCTCAAATCACCCAGTCAGTTTCTGTGCCCAGGGGTAAAGTAGAGACTCACCATTGTAGATATTACTTATGATTATGCTGTTTGATTTTAATGCATATGAAGTGCAAAAAGCTAAAATTCAAATGGAAATAAGGAATTGTGCTTCTTTAAAGTAAACAAACCAAATAGAATCCTATAGAACCATCAAACAAATCTACCATTAGTAATGAATTTCCACAGTTTTTTGCACTATTGACTGTTTTCACACATTTGCATTAGCTAAAATATGTGAACAGACAGTTTTTAGCCAAAAAGTTGTTAAGCAAGAGGAAAACTACTAGGATTGGAGAAGAGACAGTAATGTTTCTTCAGGTCCCAATGGCAGACCTTATAAGCAGGTATTTTATTTTAATCTAGTGTCACTAATTTTCTGCTCCGTATAGCTTTTAAAAACAGTATATGTTCTACTAGTCCATGGTTGCTATTATTAATATTACTACCTTAGCTTTGATGTTTGTTTCCAAGAAGAAATCTTTTTTTCCATCCCAGTTCTAAGTTATTTTTATTATTATTTAAATGAAATTCTCTTGGAAAGAGTAAGAATTGCCATGAGCATGAACAGTGAAAATTAGGCTTGTATGAGGCAACTGAAGAGTACCTTGACAAAGAGCTTTGTGTTCCTAGCACCATTCACCTCCCCACCCACCCCCCGGACCCTTTGTGCTTCTGGTCCGTCCCCTGGCTAGAAGACTCTTCTGAGCATGTCTCAAAATCAACACGAAAGCCGCATTTTCTTCTTTAGAAGTGAAGGATTGCATTGCTTCACAAAACCTCTTCAAAGAGGTGCTTCGCTCAGAACCTTGTTGAAGCAAAGCATCTCTCCCAAGCTTTGTTTAGCCAGAATGGAAGCCAACTAAGGAGAGAGAGCTTTTTAATGGGAAATGATGGGTTCCTAAACCATACTGCAATTATATTCAGTTGCCTTCAAGCACAAAGGAGGGAGCCAAGAGGAGACGGCAAAATATTATAATTCCAGATATAAAGGATTGGATTTCAGAGATGTGCAATTTAGCAATTTTTGAGAACATTGTATATTCTGTTAATCAGAAAATGTCATACTATCTCTGCCTTTTAAAAAAGTTCTTTGACAATCTGGGTGAATTTAGTTTTCCTCTTTAAAGACCTACAAAATCAGATTGATCAAGTTGAAATTATAAATTTGTTGTTATTTTCTTTCTTTATGTGTTATTCAATGTGTAATTTTTTTCTTTCTCTTTGGTGATTGTTCATTTTTATTTTATGTATGTTTGTTTGAAAAAGTATGCATGTATACATGTATGTATATGTATGTATGTGTGTATACATATATGACAAATGACTCTGAGGCTTAAATCTTAGAACAATATATTTTATATGCAGTCAGAGCACAGGTATTGAAAATAAAATGGAGTCCTTTTAGCCTAAAACAGTGGAGATGAGAACTGTGTATGTAGATATGATTGGGATAAATTGCAAAGGTGATAAGGATATATGAGTTGATTTTCTGGTTTTTTTTTTAACAGAATACCAGAATAACAGAGTTGGAAGGGACCTTGGAGGCCTTCTAGTCTAACCCCCCTTCTGAGGCAGGACACCCTATACCAATATGTTCTTATGGCTGAACAATAAAGAGCTTTTCTCTTGTTATTATTGTTGGGGTTGTCATTTGAGATTCCAGTCGTGCTGTGGTTAAAAATGTAGTATTAAGGCAAACTCTTCCCACAGCCTGGAGTTCAGTCCTGATGGGTTTCAAGGTTAACTCAGCCTCCCATCCTTCCAAGGTCAGTGAAACGAAGACCCAGATTGTTGGGGGCAATATGGAAATAATGCTTCAACATTGTAAACTACCCAAAGAGTGGTGTAAAGTGTTATGGGGTGGTATATAAACCTAAATGTTATTGCTATGCTATTGCTATTGCTATTCTTTGGGAAATGCAGAATAAGCCTGTATCCTTTTTTTTTATTAAAATGAATCAGGTTAGTAGAGATGTGTGTGCTTGGCTTTAAAGCAAAGCAAAACCTACATATGTTTATTGTACTTTTGGGGTTTAAAAGCTCTTATCCAAAGTATTACACTTAGAATTTCTATTTTTATTTAGCCAATCTATTAGCTCAACTTCATCTTGTTGGTCTCTGAGTATAGAAGGTCAATTTATGCAGTGTGGGCTTCCTCTATCCACTATGGCTCTCCACATGATAGAACTCCAGGCTTCATTCATGTGAAGAGCATTCATTGATAAATGGTATATGAAAGTTAACAGGAGGAAATGGAGTCTGCATGCTTTGTCTTCAAGTGACACCAACTCCATGGTGGCTTCTATCACCATATTCTAGCAAATGTAGCTGTCCTGTTTGAAAAAGGTGCATTGGATGTGTATATATATAAATTGATTGCTTATTTTCTATGAACTGATTTAAGCTTAAATATTTGTAGAAACCCCTCTTTAGTGCTCTTCACATTCAGTTATTCTCATCACAATCATATTCAGTACTGAAAATCTAACTTACCTTGACCTTGGTAACAGCCAGAACAGGTAGTAATTGCAGTGCAGTTGTGACTGTCAAAGTTCATAAAGGTTGTACGTGAAATCAACAGTTCGTGCTTTTGAGGAGTTTTCAGCCCTGTCAACATACAGCTTTTATCCTGGTACAAGAATGTAGAAATTGGCATTATGTTTGAAAAGAGCAGTTGTGTAAAATTAAAATGTGCATTAGTATGAATTCATATGATTATGTTGTTTAGGCTTAAACTAGTTTAAGACAACTATCTTAATTCATCAGGCTGAGTATATATACTTTTAGATCCTGCCTTTTAATACAGAAATTGAGACATGGGTAGAAGGGTGAAGATTTCATAAATCCAGTACCACCAAGCCCAAATTTGCTCTGGAGACTGCATGAATAAATGCTTGTCATTGTAATCTAAATTTAATAATAACTTGGAGATCTTCTAAGGATGTTCTAATAATCTCATTAATTATTCATTCATTCATTTATCAAATTTATATTCATTTATCAAATGTATATGCTGCTCATAATCTCAATTATTCTTGTCCATCCAATGTGTCTGTTACATTCCCATTCTCTTACTTCCCTCAAACTCACCATCATTTCTTTTGGTTCACCACAAACTCATATCACATGGCCCTATTCATTCTTCCCTGTTAAGCATTTTTTATTTATTTTTTTGTTTGGGTTATTTATTTATTATTAAATCTATACCCAATCAACTCCCAACAGTTCTGTGTGGCTCACCAATAGAGTTACAATCAGAAACAAAAACAAGAAGTAAAAGCAAGATGATAGAAAATGGACAAGATTAGAAACAATTTGATGCAGCTTTCCATTCACCTTTGCTAAAGGCCTGGGAGAAGAGTCAAGACTTTATAGCTCTTCTAAATAACAACAAAGTGAGGGACATCCTGATTTCAGGGAGAATGTCATTTCAGAGGGCAGACATTGCTACAGAGAAAGTAGGGTTCTAGGATTCTGATAGATGGCATTGTTTAATTGAAGGAAACCAGAGTGCGACAATCCTGTCAGACAAAATGAATAGATACTGTGAGAAATAAGCAGTTGCCCAAGTAACCGGGCCCTATAACATGAAGGGTTTTATAGGTAACAGACAATACTTGAATCAAACCCAGAAGCAAACTGACAACCAGCACAGCTCTTGGAGTAAATGTGTTCTATGGACATACCAAAGCATGCCCATCACTACTCATTCTGCTATATTCTTGACCAGTTGAAGCTTCTAGGTGTTCTTCAAGGACAGCCCCATGTATATCACATTGCAGTAGTCAAGCTGTGGTGATCAGAGTGTTAGCAACTGTCTAAAGCACCTCCCGATCAAGAGCCTGTTCTCTGGCTCTGTTTATCCATGATATATGTTTTGTGTTTTTAAAACTCTCCATGTTTAGCCACTGCTTATTTTTGTGATGGTCAGAAAATAAAAGATGTGCAAAAAATAGATCTCTAGAAATTACAATTACTTTTAAATTACTAAAAGCTATTTAGCAGTACACACATGACTCACATTTAAATTCCACCTATTTTTCCTGTTAATTTGCAATGGGTGCTGAACCAATGCAGAAAGTAGGATTTTAAAAGAAATAAATAATAATTGGCTAAAAGCATATTTTAAATATAAAAGTGTTGGCTGAATGGAAGGTTTAGCTTTCTTGTTAAATTAATGTCGTAAAGTTTTAATTGATGTTAAAGAGACATCATTATTAAAGGGTAGAATTACATAAATTAATATGTAAATTATGACAAGAAGATTCTTTATCATGAGATAATCAAAGATAATCAGCCTCCTGGGGTGCTGTAAGAAACAAGGCACAGCTGAGCGCCTCAAAATCTTTTAACAAGTAATATGGGAGCACTCAAGAGCTCAGTATCCCAAGACAGCAAAACCAAAGAAAATATTTTTTCAGTGCTATAAAAGTTATCTGCATTCTAATCTTCTACCTATCTCCTATTCCTCTTTCAAGATGGACACTGATTAGTATTTATATGTAAGGGTGTAGGTATATACATATGTTGTATATATCATGTTTATATGTGTGTTATGTATGTGTACACTTTTGAGAGCAAGCAATAGAATTTCATTTTTAATGTGTGCCAGTGTGCCCACAGTAAAAAAATGACAATAAAGGTTATCTTATCTTATATCTGATTCTCTCTTTGTTCTTCACACTTACAGCAATCAAAATTTAGTCTCTCTTATTCCTAACATTAACATCTATTTCAAGATTCAATTTTTACATCCATTAAACTCATTTTAAGTTCCAACCTTCACCTATGCACAAATAATCTTAGCTCCCTTGCCTTGAGGTAAGATACTTTGGCATGGTGAAATTCCTGGAGTATATACAAAATTAGTTTGAAGAAATCTTGGCATGTGGAATCTTACAATTCCAAGAGAAATATGCTTGCCTCTAGATTTCCATATCCTGGGCCTTTTGCCATATCATTGCCAAGGCAGCATAGGTCAATAAAAATGGAAGATGGGGTGACAAATGGAGGAGGCAAAAGTGCAAAAAAAATGTCCTGCTTTTTCATCATTTTGAGGAAATGCAACTTGTTCTTTTTAAATTTTCTTTAAAGTAGAGCTTCTAGTGAGGCTATGATGAACTAGATGTCCTTGAAGGAGCGGAAACAGCCACTCAAAGATAGAGCCCAGAGGACCAATGCTGGACACTGAAATCTCTCCAGATAAAAGAGAGATTGCAAAACAAAGCACTTATTTTCACACCTGATCCATCACAAGACCCATCACAGACCCTCACTTGACACACCCATATCTGAAGCTTTTAAAAAACAGAAGAACATTGACACTGACATCCACTAAACATCGCTGACATAGCCTGGTAATGAAATGTTCAGAAACCAACACACAAGCTTGGAGAACAAACCTTCACCCACACACATAGATCAGACATGTCAAACTCGTGTCGTTGCGCAATTTACCGGAGCTTTTTCACCATTGCCGGCAATGGGGTGGGCATGGTTTCCGATGACGCATCCGGCCCATGGACCAGCAGTTTGACACCCCTGACATAGATCCTTCTCAAGAATAGACATGATTTGGATTTCAAAGAATTTGGCTACTAAGACTTTCTCAAATCATAACTCTGTGAGGTTGGTTTATGAAAGGAAATTCAGTTCCTGAATTAGTATCCAGAAAAGCTATGGTTTTAATTCTGTGTTCTTGGCTCTTTAACTCTGATTCTTTGAAAAAATTGTAACCTCATACCTTTTCATGGAAGTGGCCAATTAGCAGACTGTTGACAACAGAAGTGTTTCCAAGACTTTCCACAATGTTGATACCAAAATCTTTGCAAGAAGAGATGTGGAAGTTCCAAAGTTGAAGGTTGCTGGTACTAATAATCTGATAGAATAATATTTAAAAAAATGTATTAGCATTGTTTTAATATGGTATAATGCTAACTACAAAGTCTCTCATCAGTTTAAAAGAGAATAATAAATCAAAAAAGGCAAATCTGTGCTTCTGCTTCATAAGATAAATTGACTTTTTAAGAAATCATCTAAAATAATGCCAATTTTATTGACTTAGTTTTGCATGTTAGCAGATGACAAAAACTAAAGACTGATATTCCACAAGTTTTGCTGCAAAGACATTCACTATCAGTATTATGTTTTCTATGTTTCAGTATTATGTCTTCACTTCTAAGCATAATACACTCCAGGAAATAGAAAATGAACTCAAAAAGGAATTATTTGCACACATTTAATATCATAAAAATAACTTCCAGCATTATTTCAAATACAGCTATATGATGTTGCTCATATACAATTTTACCACTTTCCCCTTCTTTCTACCTTTCCTTTTATCTTTTTCTGTTGTTTCTAAGATGCCTATTTAAAATGTCTTCTTCTAAATAGGAAGATTGAATTTTCAATTACTTAACTCAAGACTAAGACAACAGTAACAGTCATGTAAATCAGAGGTCCCCAACCTTTTGGGCACCAGGGTCCGGTTCCACGGAGAGAGGTTTTTCCGTGGATGGAGGATGGGGCTTTGCTTATTTGTGCGGCCCAGTTGCTGGCATGTCATGGCCCGGTACTGGTCCACAGACCGAGAGTTGGGGACCCCTGATATAAATGATTCCAGGGGAATTTCCTTTCAAATAGGGGCATTATCTAACAAAATATTATTAATTATTATTGTAGCCAACAGAATTAATTATACTTTAATAAAAAATGGGATCATTTAAGAATTATGTATGGGAAGGGCAAGGAAGAAAGAATGCATGGTACCTGGACTCCACCTTTGCACTGCCAGGCACTAAAGTTTTGGAATATAACAGGTTCTGTATTGTTTCTCTTTTGAGGGTGATATGCTGGATGTATTAGGAGTCCATATCTATTTATAACAAAGTAAGTGATGATATCATAAACAACAAAAATAATCTAGGCAATTTCTATCAGATGATGTACTTGTTTTAATTATATGCATAATGTATCTGGTTTATTTGATTTCTAGCCCATCATTTGTAACAGAACTCAAGATATTAGACATACTGCTTGCTCCTCCTATTTTTCACCACAACAACCCTGTCAGTTACGGTGGCTTGAGAGAGCTTCCATGGTGGACTAGAATCTAGGTGCTCCCAGATCGATATCTTAAACACTAAACCACACTAGCACTCATTGAGTAATTTAGCAATTCTAGCACAACAAATGAAGACCATGGTGTGTATTCACAGGTGGCAGTTGATGAAATTGAATAAACAATAAACAGAAAAGGCACAATCAGGTGGCTCTGACTTTCTTTATTGAAAGTACTTTCAGGGTAGATAGTTAATCAGCAGCATTTGATCATATATAGCAGGCATGTCAAACTGCTAGCCCATGGGCCGGAAGCATCATGCCGAAACCCAGAGGCGTAGCGTGGGGGGTGCAGGGGGGGCCGGCCGCACCAGGCACAACATCTGGGGGGGCGCGCTCGCACTCGCAGCTCTCTGCCCCTGCCTGGCTCACTCACTCTCTCTGCAGTGCTGGCTGTGCGAATCCGATCCGAGCCGCTGGGTCGCCGCCCACTGTGGAGGGGGGGCGCAAATTACTTGCCTTGCCCCGGGTGCTGACAACCCACGCTACGCCACTGCCGAAACCGCACCCAATACGTCACATGACCTCACATGTCGCGAGTTTGACATGCCTGATATATAGTATCCAATCTATTAGGGCAGAAAAAAATGATTCAGCATTTCTAGAATAAGCAACTTGATCAACGTACTTCAAGAAAAGAGACAAGCAAGAAACTTAAAATCCTGCTCTACCCAGTCCATGCCAAAATTACAATGATTCCGTCATATAGTTCTTGGGTTGAGATTATTATAGCTTCTGTTTTCAACTTGTTCATGGTGAGAATTTCTGCAAAAATATGGTGTGTGTGTGTGTGTGTGTGTGTGTGTACCTTCAAGTGAGTTTTGGACTCCTGACAACTGCCTAGATGAATCACTGAAGTTTTCTTGGCAAGGATTTTCAGAAGTGGTTTATCATTGCCACTGAGAGAAAGTGACTGGCCCAAGGTCACCTGGCAACTTCAAGCCTAAAATGGGACTAGGGCTCAAAGCTTCCTGGTTTCTAGTCTGAGCTCTTAACCATAGCACCAAACTGATACGTGGATAATCAAATTAATATAGATTAGGAGAAAAATAAATAATAATTCATGGCAATTATGCATGGTGTTTGTTAATGAGCTGAGATAATTTCATGAAGGATGGCAGGGACTCTATGCCAATCATTACATTGCAAATGTAATATTTTGTCCCCCCAAAAAAGGATCAGAATGCAGCAACATGAGAAATATATATTGATGCCACATCTCTCCAATGAGTGAAACATGAGATGAAAATATGACAGCATGGTTTAGAATAGGGAAGACTATATGTAACTAAAAATGAAATGAATTGTTTACATAGTCTATAAGAAATGAACCATAGCATATCAATATGTTTTCATCCTGCTGGAGGAAAACCCTATTTAGCATTAGAGAAAGCATTAAACACATTTACCCCAATTAATTACTGCAGATTTGCTGTATATGTGCATGTTGTATATCTGACGGCATGTGTGAGATGACAAAATAAAATAGACAGAAAGGGGGGAAAAATACCTAGAGCAGGAATGTGCTACATTATTACTGAAAGACTTCACTGGTTCTCCTAATCTTGAAGTTGGAAGGTGAAAAAAGTAACCATGTCCAGTGCCACACACCATGTTACTCTGCAGAGGGAAATAGGAGTTATTAGGACATCTGAACCAACTCAACAAAGATCGTAAAACACCAAAAAGATGTGTGCCTATAAGTCAGAAAAATTTATCATCACTAGCAGCACTTTGATATCTCTATCAAATTATTTTTGCAATCCATTGAGGTAAAGATAATAGAGCTCTCTAAAAGTTGACAGGACACATACAAACATGCCTTCTCCCCAACTATTGCAAACATTGATATCAAATCCTGGATTTCAGATTCAGCCTTTTTTAAAATCACGATTTAGATCATTTTCAAAAAACTTTTGTTCCATTCTGTTTCTGCAACACTTTGCATAGTTTTTCATAATATGGACTTCCTCTACTGAAGTTTCTTCTATTTTGTTCAGGGGCTCAAAGTAGTTTTCTTCTCTCACTTTTTAGCATCAGAACTACCCTGTGATATATAATGCTGACCCCAGCTCAGCATTATGGTCAGATAGGAACTTGAACATAGAATTTCCCTCATCTGTTAATCAGTACTGCTGTTTTTCTTACTATACACACTTTTGTATGGTTTTTTTTTTGAGTGGGAAGAACAATTGAGTTCTGATTCACATTATAGATCAGGAATGAGAATTAAGGTCAGTTCATCTTAAAATACAAACCAAATGGATTCTGCCCTAGATTTATCTGAATATATACCACAAGAAAAGCAATAAGAAACAACAAAATACTATATTAATTAATTAATTAATTAAAATACATCAAAACAATTCCATAATTGGGTGAGCATCTATCAGCCTACAGCATCTAAATAACAGCAGCATTCTTTTTTCCCTAGTGTATCTATCTGAAATAAAACTGTTTCATTACCAAACCAAGATTCAAAATTAGGGGACTCTAAGAGAGAAGGCAATTAAATGGGAATATTGCCTAGACATTCAGCACTAATAAAAAAATAACAATGGAAATCTGATCCAGATGTGCTGTGGCCAAAAGGTGCTCATTGATGTCATTTTAAATACTTGCCAAGTGGTTATTTTCCCAAAGGGATTGCAAGCACAGCCACCAACTTACTTGCCAGAGGTTACTGGATGAATAGCTTTGAGAATACTAGTTGTGACCTAGATCAAAGAGAATCAGTAGAATCAGTAGCCTAAGAAAGGAAGGCCCCTGATCCTATTTCCAGGTTTGCAACCTATCCAGTTTTCTCACTGTCATGGTGCATGACATTTTTCTTTAGGTGGCAAAACAAAGAGATAAGAATAATGCCTAAAGCACAAGTCGAGGCACCTTGTTACAGAAATATATAGCTTTGTATATCATACTGCCCTTAGCACAGTTAATGTAGAGCTTCCATTGTCAACTCATATTATGTCACTGGATATTTACCTAGAATACCAGTGACTCAGTCCAGAAATTATTTTTAACCCAGAGAGGGGAGGGAAGCCTGTATATTTATGTAGAGGAGGAGTAGCTTGACAGCAGTGCTTTTAGGCAAGTAGGAAATTTTATGTGAAACTTTATTTTGCGGATTTTGTTGTAGCTAAATTTCCCCCAAAATGTCTTTCCATGAGAATTTCTGATAAAATTGGAGTACAACCAAGTTACATTTTATTCATAATATTGGCACTATACATATTTGTTTAATGCAATGTTGAAAACTAAGCATTCATTTCTTCTACTTGCTTTGTTTATATTTTATTTATTTTATTTATTTATTTATTATTTGGATTTATATCCCGCCCTTCTCCTCGTAGGACTCAGGGCGGCTGACAATCAATTAAAATACATAAATAACAATACAAATTTAAAATTAATTAAAAGAGATATTTGCTTCCTGCTTTCTTTTCCAATGGGTGATTTCTTGAAAACTGAAAGATATGCAGGCCCCACTTGCACACTATTTCATCAAGTTTGTGGAGAAACCAAAAGGTGCTTTTCCAAAGGCAACTGGATTTTCCTAGTTTCTTTTTCTTGAAAATCTTTCACTTCTCATCCAAGAAGCTTCTTCAGTTCAGTTCTGAACTGAAGAATAGAAAAAATAGAAATAGAAAGAAATGCAAGAAATAGCAGAATGAGCATTAATTTAATCTACAAATCTAACTGTTGGGTTGAGGAAGCTTCAAGAAAATGTATCACAATGTCACTTGTTTTTTTGCTTTCCCATATGTACAATAGTATTGTCTTTATATCTTACCTCTATCAAATTATCAGGAGACTGGATATATATTCCAGCTGGGGACAGAACTTCAGTATTGGAAAGGCCATCGGTGCCCACTAGTCCAATAATTGTATTATGTCTTATTTTATTATTGCCATTCCATGCTCCTAAAAATACAATTGCAAATTAATAAATTATTGCATAGCAGACTGCTTGACTGCCTGTCTGCCTGTCTGCCTGTCTGCCTGTCTGCCTATCTATCTATCTATCTATCTATCTATCTATCTATCTATCTATCTATCTATCTATCTATCTATCTATTAACCTTTTTTTGCACCCACCTATTATTCATGGCCCCAGCTGCTACTGATTTAGGCTTAATGAAGTGATGGAGGAATGGACTGTTCTGAGGACAACAGCAGATAAACTCAAGTCCCAATAGCAGCTACATGGCTGCCAATCTGCTTGATAAATAATTGCTGCTTTAAAAAAAACTTTGCTGCAGGGAAGTGGAAGTAAATGTGGGTGAGTTGTAGTTAGAGATCATACTGATGACTTGGACCAATATACGGAGCACTTTATTCTGCGTTCTGTTAAAGCAAAGAGGGGTGTGTATGCTTGCGCATGCACTATTGTGCTTTACACACAAGTGTTGCTAAACCTGCTGAGACTGTATAAATGCAAAGACTACTAACATGGTGTTGATCTGGTTAATTGATTTAGCTTATGTTAAAGTACATTGTGCATGCTTTGTTGATGATGAGCTTTGTGGTGCATTTACAAACATCAATATCCTGTTCGGCATCCTTTAATAAGCCTTTGTTCTGTTGCTTGGTATGTGCTGCTCTTCACTTAATTGCTGCTGGCCTAGCTTTGGTTATAGCGTACAAACATTTTTGTCCTGATCAACCTTCTTTTTTAGATGATTTTGATCTACTGGGGCATTACCATTGTATCAAAATCATCATATTCTATATATTTATGAAAGTGTCGTTATAAGCAGCCAGCAGCAGTGCTTATCTTTAATAACTGTTGAAAGCAGAAGAACAACAGATCCCATAGGAATGGGAACATAGTAAATTAAACTCAAATCTGTCTTTCTTTAACTGGATACTGCTGGCTTAGCTAGCTTCTCTATTCTCCAGGCTAAAGTGTTCCTACTCAAGAAGCTTGATTACACAAATTCACTTTCACTTGGGGTTTTTCCTCTTGTCACCCTAACCACAGCATGAATATGCCCTGGTAACATTTTTTTTTTGCCATATCTTTCATCTTATCCCCAGTTCATACTTGAAACAGCTTACAGTTATCTTTGGCTGTTCCAGTTTTAAAATAGGAATTTCCCAATTGTCTGGATATAGTTTTTATTAGGGGTACAAACTAGAGCCAGTAAACTGGATGTGTTGGTGATTGAAAATTATATTCAGTAAATGGAATGTAATTGCTGGTTTAGTTGTGGTTTATTATCCCGGGTCTTTATAGCCCATCTAGGGACCTGCAGGGACATTCCTTCTCCTCTGGTTGCTGGAAACTGTTCTTCATGGTATTTGTGACCTGAGCTCCAGGAAAGACCAGGCAACTGGCTTCTGCAGAAGCATCAGTTTACATAATGCCTAACCAATGCATTTGAAAATGCTCTTCAGATTCTACCTGTCTTCATGATAAACACAAACCTGTTTGTTGCTGTATTTTAAGCAGGTGTAGTGGTCTTTTTGTACTGCAAGTCCTCTGCTGCACAAAGTGTTGATTAAAACTAGGAAAATCAGCTCTGCATAGCTAGTTCTGTCATCATTGAAGCATTTCGAGTTTTTCAAGCTATACATTTTACTGGTTTTTTAACCTCAGTGCAGGAACAGCGCCTTTGGCTACTTCATTATGGTTTTGGCAGTATTTGGTGAGGACACGATGGTTATCATGTTGTTACTGCACATCAGCCAATCACAATAGTGTGTTTTCCATGGCTCTCCACTGGCTACCTCTGGTAGGACAGCCACCAGCTGTCAGGTCAGAATTGGACTCCTTGGTCACTCGCTACACTGCTCTTCTCTTGAAGCACAATTGAGGATGGAATTCACTCATTATCATCACCTCCTGTGACCTGTGAGATGGGTTTGTTTGCTGGTTGATTGATTGGTTGGTTTATTAGACTTATTTGCTTTCCATCTTGCCTAGAGGCTTACAAACATTAAATGCTTATAAAACATTGAATAATAAAAATGCATAATAATAATTTACAATTTAAAAAATGGGAAGGAAGGGAGCAGGATATGCATGGAGGAAGTGAAGGCAAGTCTTAATCTGTCGGCCACCTCCAGTGTCATGTACCCCTGCTGGGGGCCCCAGGCCAACTGGCAGAGCCAGGTCTTCAGGCCCTTAGAGAAAGTTAGGAGGTTGGGTGCTGATTTCACCTCAGTTTACTTTTGGACAGGTGATTATCTTGTATTCATTACAACAAGGAGGCACATCAGAGGTTCCCCATCCCATGCATTGCCACACTTTTGCAAACTATTTGTTGGACAGCTAGGCAGCTGGCTAAACCTGCCATTCTAAGCTCTTGCCTATACTTCTCCAAAGCTGCTCTTCTCATACAGGATCTTCTCTAAGGTTGCCCTTACTTTGTGGTGCTCTCTTCCACTGAAAGAGGTGAAGCCTCTAATTTGTCAGCATTTCATGAATAAATTAAATCTATTTTGTTTCAGGGAGTCCTTAGCACCAGTTGATTTCAGTGACGACACTAATTTGGAATTTGTACTTTTAGTGTTATGTTTATTTTTCAGACATACACCACCAGACTTTTAGAATTGGGAGGTAAGAAAAACCCAAATAAATAAATAGATGCATGGAAGAATGATTGATAGCTGATTTCCCACCAGCAGGGGAAATGGGAGAGTAAATGAAATCAGAATCTCTATTAATCTTTTTTTAAAATGTGCTCTCAATAGGTTAACAAGAACAGCACCTTTTATCAGTCCAGTTCCTGTTGCAGAATAGGGATTAGCCATGGGCACTGTGGATTACACCAACATATTTTTCTTCTAGCTCAAAGACTAGTGGATAAAAATTTAATGCAGCCATCTGGATCAGCCCTTTGTCCAAAAAGCTGATAGCTGCCATATGCTTATGTTTGCTTTACTGTAGGGTTGCCATCTTGTGATTATTTTGCAGTTGTTTTGGTTAATTTTTTATATGTTGCTCTTTTATGTTTTTGTGAGCAGTTTAGAGTGAGAGGAAGGAAGGAAACGTAAACTTAAAAATTGAAATTGTTTTGTTAAAAAGGTAAACAAAATTGATCATACTATATTAAAAATTATATCAATATTGTGAAAAATATAGAATGTATATTGTTATGTATGATATATCATACAAATTGAATTTACTGAATGTATGATATATTGATTTAATGTAGTGGTTAAGATGCTGGCATAGAAACCAGGAATCTATAGTTCTAGCCCCACCTTAGATATGCTGGGTGACTTTAGACCAGTCCCTGACTCTCAGCCCATCTCACCCCACAGGGTTGGTGTTATGGGTAAACCAGGAGGAGGAAGGAATATTAGCTATGTTTGCTGCCTTCAGTTACTTATAAAGTAATAAAGGCAGAATCAAAATCTAATAAAAATGTTAAGATCCTTTTCAAATATAAACTGATAGCTTCCGCTATTTACACGTGAGGGACAAGACCAGCAAAAAGGTAAACAAAGGGGTGGAACTTAATCCTTAGTCCTATGAACTCATCCTGTTAAAGACTTGGAAGTAAGTCTTGCACACAACTTCTTTGGAATAAGTTGCACTTTTTCCCTCCCAAATTAAAAAAACAAAATAAAGATAGGAAGGATTGCTGATCCCAATCTTTCCTATACTGCCTCTCTTTCAAGTCACTGTGATCATCTATCTTACCTTCAAGGTAATGTGGCAATGCCTTCTTTTCTTCTTCTTTTTTCTAGCATTATTCCCATGCTATGGCAGGGTCCGCTTAATGTGACAATGCCTAACATGTCTTTAAAATTATCCTTGAACAATGTCAGAATAAGCCAGCAAACATTACAGTACTTTCGGGCAAAGATGGCTAAGGACAACTTAAATTTATTTTCTTCATGAACTGAGTACAAGATAAAGGCAACCGCATGGCAGTAACAAAAGAGAATGTTGTTGCCAGGACTTGCTTTTGCTGGGATTAGAGTAACTAGGAAAAAAAATCCCAACATCTATCATGGGAAAACATAATGCTAAACAGCATGTATAAACGTTTTGGGTTTTTTACCACAGTGAGACGAAGTTTGGCAGATATGCTACACCATCATAAGATGAAGCCTGCCAAATTTCATTTAAAAAGGTTAAGAATGAGTTATATTCCTTATCAATATGAGTTATTAAAGTTTCCATAATATTTTTTTTTGTCTTATACAAAAAGGGGGTGAAATCTACAAAAAGGTTAAAGCATTATGAGGAGATGAAGTTTATCAAATATGGATAGCTCTCACAAAGCACAGTCAGAATAACTAAGTGAGAGCATGACTTTGATTTGAAGACAATTCTACCAATCTCTGAATCCTGGGGATTTGCACCATGAAGACTTCATGTTGTTTCAGAACCAGGTCCAGATCTGTATAGCCACAAATCACTAGCTAGTTCTAAGACCTTTTGCTTCCAGAGCCAAGCTGGGTATTCTTGTCAATGCATATAGTTTTTCCATCCATTAGAACTTGGCTTTTATCTCCCCCTTTCTCTACCACAACAACATGCAATTACAGTATTGAGGAAGTGCTTGTTGCAAATCAATAATACTTGCTATCTTTTCATTATCACGCCTTTCCAGAGCTATTGAATACAGGGGAGGAAAGGTAACTTGATGGCTTTGTAGCTCACCCTATGTAATGGTATGCGGGAATGAACTTGGGCATGAACTAGGGCAGTGGTTCTCAACCTGTGGGTCGGGACCCCATTTGGGGTCGATCGACCATTTCACGGGGGTCGCCAAGCAAGGCTGTCCGCCATTTTTTTGTCCGCCATTTTTTTGTCCGCCATTTTTTCCCCCTTTTCCGGCAGGTGCCTTACCTCCCTTGGGCTGGGCCAGCGGGTGGTCGGCCTGCTCCGTCTCTGCCGCTTGCCAGCTACGCCTCGGCCGGAGCAGGGGGCAGAACCACGCATGTGTGGCGCTCCCGGGCAGGGAAAGTCCTCGACTTACGACCGGTTAGGTAGTCCTCGACTTATGACCGGTTTAGTCCTCGACTTATGACCGGTTTAGTCCTCGACTTATGACCGGTTTAGTCCTCGACTTACGACTGGTTGGGGTCGTGGCATTAAAAAGGTTGAGAACCACTGAACTAGGGGGAAGGGCCATAGCTAGGGGAATGGTTGGATAACAGGCAGCTTAGCCCACAAAAGGAATGCTTTCTTGGGCTGTAAAGGGAGAAATATATTATCAGACTTGCAAGATTCTATTAACTAACCCTACAATAAATTAGAATTAGTCCATCTAGTCATGCTTCCTGTCTTGATAGGCTGCCATCCTAAATCAGAACTGCTTAGATGTCCTGAAAATCTGAAAAATACACCTATATCTGATCCGAACAGAAAAAGTGGGTGGGAGTAGCAATGTCTTTCTTTTTATATGGAGTGGGTGGTAGGAGTTACTATAGAAGCTATGGTAGCATAGATGCTGACTGGATGCCATTTTGCACTCTCCCATCACAGAGATGGAGCACTGATTACTTTGCGGTGATCTCTGCATTTTCTCAGCATTTTGAGGTTGGCAGGAGTGAACATAATCAAAATCAACTTCAAATGGAGGATAAATGGAAGAAGCTGCAATGTAAAGGTACCTTAATATTACTGCTCCCCTTTCTCAGATGGTACAGGGTGAAGCACCCAAACATTACCATTCTTAAAATCCCTCTCTGTGTCTGTATGTGTATAAGACATGGAGACAGCACAAATATAGCTTCATCTCAGCTCAACTGAATTTAAAAAAAGAAAAAGAGAACACCAAGAGTTGTCCCATTCAGCGTTGGGCTCAGGTTTCAGGCTGTGTCAAACGTGCCTCTTCATTTAGTTATTCATTTGATGGAGGGACTTCTGCTCTGTGATATATTGTGCCAAAACATATCTGTGATACCACAGTACTCCTTTTTGGTTAGCAGGCTGCTGACGTGTGACGCTCCCATATTTCAACGAAAGCTTGAAAAACCTGCTTTACTAATGACTTCTACTCTTCAGTTCTCTAATTTGTTTTAATGGATTGAAATGACATTTTCTGTTTTCATATAAATGATTATTTTTCATTTGAAAATAAAATCTCCGGAAACAGGATTGTAAAGCAAAGGTGTTGGGGAATCCTGAGCAAAGAATTTCTAAAATAATCTTTGTGGGATGAAAATTTCTGCAAACGCTGTAACCTTTTTAGTTCACTTACCTATTTTAATTCCATGGCCCATAATGTTGTAAAAAGTATTATTTTCAATCTTGAAATCTGATATCCCTGATAGGCTAACTCCCTGAGCAAAAGAATCCAAAACAACACAATGTTGCATGTAAGATTCTAAAAAAGCGAAAAAGAAAAAGACTTGAATACAGACCAGCAAAACTGAAAAGTGATGCAATATCAAAATTAGAATGTACCAATAGTTGTTTCCAATAGCAGCAGAATCATTTCAATGGATTGCATCAATAATAATAATAATAATAATAATAATAATAATAATAATAATAATAATA